CATTAACAGGGTGATTGATTGGGCTGGTTGGTGCTGCATGGTAGACGAAGAAAGTGCTTAACAGCGCAAGCGACAGGAGCGCTCTGTTCTCGTCTCTTCTATACCCTTTCTTCGTGGTACTTTCTTCGTGCTACTTCAAACATTGGCCTTTTCAAATGTCGCACGGCATGGTTTGGTTGCCGGTAGTCACTTAGGCTGAAGACAGCAGCCTTCAGAGAACGTGCGAGTGTCTCGTGTACATGTTCCCGCACGAGACGCTTTTATCCTTCTCTTCTGTTGTTGGAAGCGTGCGGCCGCTAGAGGGAAGCCATTACATGAGGCTGCCTCGTGAGACAGCTTTCGCCATGTAAGCACGTGGTGTAAGGTCCGCGTCCTTGAATGTAGCAGCGCCGGCAGCTTTAAGAGCCCCATACGTTCACAGCGAAAAGAGCCGCACGTACAGGGGCAGGAGGGCGACCTTTTCTGAGGAAGCGAGCAACAAAACATTTTAAAAATATAAAGGAAGACGGCGGATACTGGGGCGCAGACTGACTAGTAAGCTAGTAAGCCGTTTGAAGTGTTGGCCTAACTCCAAGACTAGGCATGCAGGAAGCAACAATTAAGTGTGCAAAGTGAAGCGAAGAAAAAAAAAATTGCTGCCGCGTACGGGCAGCATAATAGGGTCTGCAGGAATACACGCAGGCAGTTCTGGTAACGTGTGGTGGTGTAGATGGAAAACAATTTCATATCGCGTCCCCAATTCTCTGTAGTAGAGTCCTTCGTGGTATAAAACGTAGCATGAAACTAGTAGCCTGATACTGGTTGGCCAACCGTAATATCATGACCAACCACTAAATCGCGCATCCTACTTTCAGGTACAAGCACAAAATTTAACCTAGTCATAGGAGCCTCACCAGCAGCCCATCGAAAGGTCATGAAGTGGCTTTATTATGAACTAGAATAATCGACATCTATTGTTGCACACCGAATGATGATGTAGCAAGAAAACAGGCTATTAAGGATCCAGCGATATCACGCGCTGTAATTGCAGAGTTGCACCAAAAAGAGATTGAAAACTAGAAATAAGATGTTCATCACACCATGCAAGAATAAAGCTGCATTAAATAACAGACGTCAGAAACATTAAAACCGAAAGAACTGGGGTGCCTCACTATACACCATAATGAAAGCAGCCAACGCGCTTCTTTTTTTTCTTCACGCGTAAAAAAAATGTCACCGATTTTCACTGGGGTGCCTCACTATACACCATAATGAAAGCAGCCAACGCGCTTCTTTTTTTTTTCTTCACGCGTAAAAAAATGTCACCGATTTTCACGGTATTGCCTAATGCAAATTCTGAGTGCACCTTCGTGTTGATGCAGAGGTAACTGTTTTTGAAGATGTGGCTATCCTCAGGTGTAGCGATGTAACACTCATTACATACTGCCACAAAGACTACCAGCGCTCAAAGGCTACGCGCACCACTCTGCATTGCAGGCCTTGCGAGCCGAGCGAAACACCGACAGTGCCGTTTCGACAAGCCAAGCCAACCGCAGTGTACGCGTCAGCTCTGTATGCACATGAGCTCTGACATAGGGGCCAGCGCGCAGCGGAGGAAGGAAACTACGTTAGAGACCAGTAGCCCGAGACATCGACAGACTCCGCGTTCAGTCTCTTTCGTCCTCGTTCGCTGTATCGCTTACGCCGGCAACGCCAATGGCAACGACGCTCAACGAAGGAGCATTTACCCAGGAGATGCGATATAAGCAAATAAAGACAAAAGGTGCCTTCGCATATAATTAGTGCTTCGAAAAGCCCTTGATTAAGAAACCAGTTGTTTCTTCAACATGCCATTATTTAATGCCCAACTCTTTGTTACACTCTGAACTCTCTGCTTTATCAAGCAACATAAAACTGCATGTCTACTTGAGACAGCAAGTCAGCGTTAAAATGTCACTTTGTCTTTTAGACCAAACAAGTTGTTTTACGGCAACCTGTGAATTGGAGAATGGCTGTCTGGTATAAGCCTCATAAGGTAGAAGGCCCACGGGATGGTGATATGCTCTCCCCATAGTAGAATACTAAGTGCTCTAAATCGTTTACCACTTTCTCTAAACGCACACTAGTAATACCAGGTCTTACTAATGCATTCTCCTCCTTGCATCATATCATCATCACTGGTCAGTTGCCTCAGTTTTGACACGCGTCGACAACCGGCCACTTTCTGATCGCACGAAGGTCGCGGGTGCCAATCTGGAAACCTTAAATTTCCGCCATGTTGACCAATATCGTGAGACCAGTATCGGTGACTTAATCTACAACAAAATTTGCTTTGAATTTGATGCTTACTAAAAAAAAACTCATAATAGAAGAAAGCACTTCGAGCACTATCTGACCAGAAAAGGTTGGCACGTTAAACTCGCTGGAAGTAACCTCCTTGGTTTTAGCAAGGTTTAGCGAGGTTGGGTCGCAGTGCCATGAACAAGCGGCGGAGAAAGGTGAGAACTACACACGAAGCACAGGCCGCAAGGGAGTGCGTGCATGCCTCTCTTCTAGTCCGGCCGTGCCACCTCTCGTTTAGTCCTTGGGATGTCGGCTAAATGGCCGTACTTATATATGATGAAACATTGCGAGATGGCGGTACTTGGAGTGCTCACTAGATGGACGGACGGATGGACAGACGCTAGCACGGACGGATGGACAGAGAGACAGACACACAGACGGGCGGACGGACGGATAGACGCAGGGACGGACGCACGCATGGACGCACGGGCGCACGGACGAACGCAGGGGCGGACGGATGGATGTACGGATGGACGGGTGGACACATGGATGGACGGATGCAATAACAAACGGATGGACGGAGGCGCGAACAGACTGACGGATTCTTCGCCCTACTCATCATCATGCACTCCGTAGATCTGCTGTTATTTTTTTATTCTTATTTGAACTTCTTTACATGTGCCTTTGTTTCCCATCGCCTTGTCTGTCGGATGTATGAAATGCAAACGGATGAATGGATGTACGTATGGGTGGATGGATCGGTGAAAAACTTCACTGCTGTAGTTTAGGGTGCACTCCAGGAGTTCGTGCGATTACGTGCATCGATGTCGCAATTACTACAGAGTGACGTAACCTATTCACTTTAAAGCGTGATTGTGAGTCTTTAGGTGCATTCTGTGCCCGCTGCAACGTCACGCAACGGTAACCGCGACGCGTGCGACCAGCGAAGAGGAAAAAGTAGAAAAACCCGGTTTTGGGGCCGGCAGCGTCACGCTTGCCTTGGTCCTGCGCGGAACCCGAGGGACGAGAAGCAAACAGCCGGACGTGCTCGCGATCCAAATAGTGCCTCATCTGACATGGATCTGCTCACGCGTTACCACAATCGTTTGTTTTGCACGCTGAGAATGTTTTGCATAGCCTCGTTTTTGTCCGCTTGGACATTAATATTTCGCGAGCGTGTCGGCTTAGCGGCGTGCCGAGCCCGTTAGTCCATGAAGCCTTCTCCTGTCGCGTTTGTCGTTGTTGTTTGCTTGTATGTTAATCGGCTTATTTGTTGGTATGTTGTTTCCGGCCTGAAGGCGGTGCTATTTCCCTCTTTGTTCATGAGATCATAGCTTAGCGGTCATTATTTATTAAGTGTTGCTCTTAATTTTACTTGGATTTTTTTAAAGATCACGACGCACCGATTTGCCACCAGTGGGTGAAATTTCTGACCACACTTTTTTCTGTTGTGCAATGGAAAGTGAGCTGTGTAGCGGAGGAATAACCGCCACGGCGTCGTAGCGGGTCGTAGCGGGTGACCCGAAAGTCACGGCTTCCACCCGGGTCAATTCATTCGCATTTCTGTGCATGCGAAATGCTATATTAGTGCCCGTTAAATGACTCCAGGTGGTCAGAAATCGCTTTACTTCAGCAGCACTCGAACAAATTGCGATGCATGCGACACAACGATTCCCAACACAATTGTGGACGACCCAAATACTCGCCTAGAGCCTTTAGTAACGCTCCCTGTTTCTGTAATATTTAACTTCTAAGCATACCCACAATGTTTTTTTATACAGAAGGAGAATTGAAGTCAGTAGCGGTACTTTATTCTGATTTAGGCTGTTGCTTCATTAAGACGACTGACTACCCATTTCAACCCGCGATCTAGCGATGATTCGACAAGACTCGACAGGGCCGACAGCGACAACTTGCGCTGGTCTCTCGGCTCTAGAGCCTCGCTGAATTCATACTCGCTTGTATGAACATTCTAATCTATCGAATCTTACAGGATACCCAGCCCTTTGCCCTGTGGTGAAAATGATGACGGTCGATCCTAGAAATGTTACATTGGAGGCCTTTGTTAAGCACATGTTTGTTTTTCATGTGTTCACTGGTTGTGGGGACTAATCTTGACTGTCATCGGGGTCTTGGGCGTGGGTGTTTCGCTTAGTCTTTGGGACGTAGCAAAGGTCGCATTAACTAGTACCCTAGACGTAGTAAATGTCGCATTATTATTACCCTGCAGTGCAGGTTACTAATATAAACTAACATAAAAGCAAAGATCCGGACACTCGTGTTTCGATTTATTCGGGCGTCCCGAGTCTTACCAGTCACTTGAACACACGGTGATACAATCGTATTTGCTTTTACCTCAAGAACGGACACACTTTCCACGCATGATTACGTACACGTCCTTGCTTAGCGCATCCTTTCTGAAAGCAGGTTCGCACCGGGCCGGCCGTTTTCGGGGCCAGCAAAAGTAAGCGCCGCGCACGTCGCCCTGGTCCACCTTTTTTTTTTTTTCTTAAATCTTCGAAACTCGCAAGCCTTCGTTCGATCCGGAGGCCCACTCAATGAAGGAAGAGAAAACAAAATGAAGTACGGGGGGACGATTGCAGCAGCATAGGCAAAACCAATGGTCCCGTTTCTGCTCTTTCGTACGGTGGTAGTTGTATGAGGGGAAGAGGGCACCGTTCCCTTTTCCAGAACAGGCTCTCTTCGAGTTCGCTAGGGGCCACACTGATACCCGGATTTTCTGCACGAGGAGGCTTCTTCTCTGGCGCGTATCCGTGTTCGCGAAGCTCTTTTTCTTCGCGGATCGTCTGCATTCTATGCGTGTCGTTTGGAAGCGAGCAAACGCACACACATGTAGAGGGCGTCGGTCGGGCTGGCGCCGCTCTTTTTTCGGCGGTGGGCAAGCGGCTTCCCCCGACCGTCCCCTCTCCTTGCTCTTACTTCCATCATTAGGCAAATATTGTACCGACGCTTCTGCCTCCTCTCGTCGCTGCCGGAGGTCGGAAAGCGAGGTGGCAGCGCGAGCGTCGAGGCACGCCATAGTGTGTGACACGGACGTGTACCGTCGACATCGCAGCCGCCGCGTTAGGTCAGCGTTGCACGACGAGATCACTGCCAGCCACATTCGCAGACACCGCACACGGTCTCCGTTCGGCTACCGTGAAGGAGTGACTGCTATCCGCGCCGCCGCTGCTTCTGCTACTGCGCCGCCGTAGACATGGCGGCCGAACAGGGCCGGCGGCAGCGGAAGATGACATGCGAAGACGACAGGTCCGTCGGAATGAATGCCAGGTACGTGCCAACACATTACTTTGATATCGCTACCTGTGCGTGCAGAGTTGTTATTGAGGCCCTAATCATAATCGGTTGCAACCTATACATACAAGCCGCACTACTACATGCATGCTTGCCATTCATCTGTGCTTGCCGTTCGAAACGGGTACTAGCTCGAATAAAGTGCTGCGTTCTACCGCTGATTATGTGAATACTACGCATATTAGGGATTAAAACGTCGTCGTCCCAATTCGAAACCCTACGTTTGGCTGAATAGTAATGTCGGAATATTCACCGCAATTTCGCAGGGAGTTCAAATTTTCGACGGAAAATCGGTGCAGTGAAGATGTCTTTAAAGGCAAATCACCCTTGTGGAATACTCGTAGGGTACTTGACGTCATTGCTGTCACGGAAATGACGGAATGTTATTAGACAGCGCACCTATGCAAAATAATTCTTGATGGCACAGCTACGGCTTTTAGGTGGGGCTATTATTTATTCTTAGGTGGGGTTCGACCAAAACCTATGAAAAGAGGGGCCGTAAATGCAATAAGCGTCTATCGAAGCCTCATAATTCTTTAGTGACACGGATGTCTATTCAGCTTGGCCATAGAAAAACAAAAAGAAAGGTTAAACATGAGTTGGACGCAGTGCATATGCGCTGTTACCCAAAATAACGTAACATGCATGTCTCTGAAAAGGCCGTCCTGGCAACTGGAGACATGGCCATGACTTCAGGAGCTGGGAAGCAACGTAGTGATGATTCGGGCTTCTGTTTGGACGGTAAATGAAATAGAATATTGGCTGCAGCAATTGTATGAAAGTAAATACTACAAGGAAAGCAAACAAACATAGTAACCAAGAAACTATAGAGAGAGTGCGCAAACAAATTAGAACACGTTTCATCTTCATTTATACCTGCGTGTAGTTACGCTTTTGTTCCACAGAATAATTGTCACCGCGAGTGCAGATAAGTGTCACGATTGTCCCCCCCCCTTTTTTTTTTCGTTCCTGTCACTAACTCTTTCATTATTCATTTCAGCCGGAACTCCCTGATGTCACTTATGGTCGTGGTTACTCAACTGCTTGCCCTCCCGCCTGAAACAGTAGCAAAAAATCCGTTCGGCCCTGCGTTGAAGGCATTCAACCACAGCGTAGACGTTCAAAAAATTCGCGACGTCACTTGGGAGAGGTACCTTCTGCTTTTGTCCACGCCCCAGGTTCCAGAGCGGTACATTCCAGACCTTCCTCAAGCTGTGAGTACATCTTTACTTCACAGTACTGTTTACCATAATAATCTCTTCCCGTGAGGACAGGGTTGCATGCAGAATGGAACTGCTCGAGCTGTACTTGAGATACCCAATCAACCTGAATTAAAATCGCACTTGCACTGTGAGAACGTTGTTCATGTCGTAGTTTTATTACTATTACAGTAGTAAGAAGTCATCGAGCAATAAATATCCTCTTGCCAAAACGTTTCCTGCAGTGATATCCTTGCATAGATTTCAACATTTATTGATTTTAAAATAAATTTGTACAAATGCTTCTAAACACTATTAGGCACGCTCTAGATTGTCGAACGGATGGGCATTTTTTTTAAGGTTTTCATATTTCATGAGTGAATACTGTTTCCCGAAAACACAGGATCGCCTTGAGAATTTTAATGTGTATTGAGGTGCATTAGGGAAGGAATTGAAGTAATAACTACCCGGTGTAATATTCCGTTACACGTGAGATATTTGTGTGAAGTAAAATAATAGTTAAAACGCCCTATAGAAAAGCTTCAAACATACAGAGAACGAGTGCGTTATTCCCTTCTGGCGTTTGTCGTATTTGCGGCACATGTCATGATGCAAGCAGTCTGTTCACGTGACGTCAAAATAAAATAAGCACTAGATTTCGTTATACGCGAGCAATATCAGTTCCTAATTATCTCTTTTTTGGCATCCCCGATCAGTCGCGGGACGAACTTCTTTGTTTCGCATGACTATCGTACGCTACCAACACTTCGTTTCATGCATTTTTGACTGCGCAAGTGAAGATAATAGCGTGTGGTCAAAAAAGCTGTAAATCCTGATTTGCTCACTACTCGGTGCCGACACTGTCCGCATATTTTACACATAATTAAGTGGCTCAAAGAAGATATCACCAGTGGAAAGAATAGCGAATGCAAGCGAGGAAGCATTCTCTAGGGTTAAGAAAGGAGGTACATTTCACTTTCGTTCGCACACAGATATGAGAATCTGAAAAGCTTGCAAGTTCCGGAGAGGCAGTGTAGGGGAGCGTGTATGTGCCTTTACGCGTGCAGTAGTGGTTCACTCTAAAGTGTTCCGGTGTGTGACCTGGCGTCAGTGGCTCCTGGCCTTCCAGAAATGGGGTGACTCGGTGCGGAAGTACTCCGTGCGGAACTGCGGCTCACGCTACGACGCGGTGCAGTACGAAGAGCTGCGTCTCAGGCCGGATCCACTCAGCTTTCCAGGCTCCGTCTTTGTCACCTCGGCGATCAAGGTCTCCAGGAACGTCACGGCGCCCATCAAGGTAAAGATGCACCGCACCGCTAGCGGCTCAAGTTTGTTTGCCCCGATTTCTCGCGAATACACCAAGTCTGTGTTCCAATTCCGCACGACATTGTAAATAGACATTCCATCACGGTCCCAGCGATTGAACGCGTTTCTATAACATCTGCTCGTCAACGAGACAAAACTAAGAAAGCCAAACCGAATGGTTTTGTATTTACCGTCTTTCGTGCGCGAACTTATGAATGAGTTTGCGTGGCTTGAACCACGCGCTATAGAAGTGGCTACTTAAAGGCAGGCAACCATATGCAGGGTAGATCTTAGCAATTCGATTATTCGGCAAGGCCGCAATCTTGCTTGAACAGCAAAGTAGTCTAAATTTTCTTTGCCTCCAATGCTGACTTCGTCAAGCTGTCTATTTTGCTGCCACAATGAGAATGCGGCTTAAGTTGGTCGCTGACCGCTGAACCGATCATTTGGCTGTCTATGGTAAGTATGGAAACACATACTACCTGTCTTGAAAAAGCGGAACCAAGAAGGATTGCAAGGAGGCGAACCAGATAGATACCCGGTGCTATCAGATTGCTAAAAATTAAGCTTCTTGCTTCCGTGGCTGCACTCTAATGAACTCAGTCTCTCAGTGTTCCGTTAATATTTTAGCCTTTTTCTTGAGAATACAACAATAAAAAGACACATGTCTGTGTATTGTGCGTGGGGGAGACAATGAGTCCATGCCGAAGTTACTAGGGGGGCGAACCAAATAATGAGAAGTAGCCGAAGCTGATCGCTTGGATTAATGGAAATTAGGCTGTGATAGATAATCCGGAACACCGCACTCCTAGACGGACGCGCACAAATAGTAGAAATAGTGTCCTATTTTTATAATTGCGTTTTCGCATTTTTATCATTAGTCATACTTCATCCCTCAGTGCGAAGATCGACAACCAGAAATTGTAATCACATACTTCAGCCTATCAATTTTCTCTGCATCATCATCGTCATCATAATAATTTGTTTAACTACATCCGGTTGAGCATGGTTGCAACGGACTGTCAGTTGCACGTTCACTGCCACACCGCTCAAATGGTGCAGTGAGACGCCGTTCTGCGTCGCTGAGATCGAAGTCATGGGTTTTATTCTTGGCCACGACAGCCGCATAGCCACGGGAGTGAAATGAAAAAGAAAAAGAAGTCTTATGTGTTCATGTGTACTTTCATATAAAAGAAACGCTGCTGGTAAGGCTTTATCCGAACTCTAAGTGCTGGTAGGACGCGTTATATCCACCACGAAGACAGGAGAATTTTTCAAATCTTTTTCATTCTCATTTGGAAAATCTTTTGTTAAAAAAAATGGCCCCGTATCTGCATTTAATCTGCAAATGTCGTCGAAAGACGTAAGTCTTGCGTGTGGAGAGAGTGAACAAAGCATTTATTTGATGTTCTGCTCAAGAAAATCGGCGAGTTGGAGTGCCTCGAGCGTGCAGCGGTGGCGCACGAGCGCATCATGTCACGTCACACGTGAGACATGAGCGCCATCTGGCATTTTTGTTTTTGTTTTTTCAAAAACAAAGTGCGTGGCTCTGAGACGGGTGTGCGCGCCCGCCTCAGAGGTGATAAGGTGTAGAACGCAAGGCGACGGGTAGGTGCCACCACCGTCTGGTTTTAGTAAAGCGTTGGAAACACTCACCTTTCGTGCAAGCGTTGGATGATCCCCGCAGCGTGATAAGCACTACGTTGTTTAAAATTACTTATGTGCGCCTTTTCTAGTAAAAGGCGCACATGCAGAATAAATACGCGTTGTTATGGTGACCCAGACACGCACAATAATTGATTTTTAGTCGACAATTGCACAAGTATGAACGCTGAATCTTCAGCAACATTGGTGGGCGCTGTGGATGGGGTCAGCCGTTTCAAATACCCGATGCTGTTATTAGGGGACAAACAGACAATTGTACAGACAGACAGACACAGACAGACAGACGGACAGACGGACGGACGGACAGACCGACCAAACTTTTTGCGTCTAAGGTCCCCAAGAAACACTATCGTCTTTAATAAACTAGAGCTTCAGAAGTAGTATACAAGCCCTTTCATGCAAAGCTTTTGATCAAGCTGAAATAGGGAGTATAATAATACAGAAATAAATTTCCATGGAGAAGCTGCTTGTGATTTTAAATGAAGAGAGATATTTCACTGCATGCTTATAATAAACGTTCTGTAGCATTGGGTAACCACTCACTGATTCTTAGGTACCGTCGGCTAGATGTTGCCGGCGCATGACATGAGCAGTTAATGAATCGCTCATCAACGAAAATCAACGCATTTTTTCTTCGAAATGTCCGTCCTATTGACAGCTTTGTCCATTCTGAAAACTGATTTCTTTAGAATTCGCTTTCGCTGCGTTCTTTGTTCAGGTGAACATCATTATGAAGAAGAAGGTCTACTTGTGGGTCACAGTTCCCTGCGTCAATGATTTTGGTTCATGCGACTACGACGACATTTGCGATGTACAGGACTGCCCTCTGTTCTACGATTTCTTGGGGCTGCCTTGTGGATGTCCTATAAAAGAGGTAAGCCTAAACCGGTGTCTAGGAGTTTTATCGGAATAGTGTACACACCTTTGAACATGCTGAAGGCGTCAGGAAAGGGGTAAGATAGGGGGGGGGGGGACTACGCGCTAGTACTTAAGCTTTGTACTGCGCTCTGATAAAAAGTTTGAGTGCGGGGGAACCAGGAAGATTGCAAGTGGGGGGGGGGGAGGGGGGGAGGGTGTGCTGCTGCATAACTTATCTCTGCTCCTCCCCCACCGCACCCCCTGAAGTGAAGTACTCTGCGCACGCCTCTCCATCTATAACACACAATCACCCCAGATAGTGAACTCGTGATAGAAGGAAAATAGCCGACTTTATTTTCCGCAAGAAGTTATTTTGTTATTGGCTTCCAGATATGAAAAACTGACAAAACGAAATACCTGATCTAGTTCAACTCGAATGAGTCAAACTCAAAATTATCGCTGTTTTCTTTATTTATTCTGCTTTTCGCTTTGTTCCAGTTCTTTTACAGGTATTCATGCACTTGGTACATTACACCGCTGTTTATACATTTGTTTCATTTTGTACCGCGAGAATCTCTAACTTTTACTTGATAACTTTTAGCTAAAATGCGAAGAACTATTCACCTGTGCACTTTTCTAACGGTGAACTTACGCATGGCATAATGTGCAGCTTTCCCCACCACTACCTTGTTATGACAAAAGCAAACCAACAGTACGTGCGAGCTTTCTATCCTTGCTGGTCTAGCATCTTATTGAACATTCGGCACCCATCGACCTGTTGGTACATATATCTGTGTTAGAAGCTATAAAGTATGCTTTCATAACATCGCTTCACGATGAGCTCAACCACATTTCTGCTGTTGGCGAAGCTATGGGCACGTTGGGAATGTGGTTACGACTTGATTTACCTCAATTTACTTTAGGCCATTACTGAAAGATAATGATAATCCCACTTCTCATGCCAATATTCCCACCCGTTCACTTCTATTTTGTGCGGGAAACCACGCTTGCCGGTGAACAGAACTCAGTGTTAGCACCAGTATTAGACATTCTAACCCCTATGTACAAGATCGTCTTTACTTCAAAAAAGCTCTTGAAAATAGTTTAAAAAAACGGTAACCGCATCAGCAACATATCACACAAAAATCAACCAGAAAGCGGCAACCACATCATGCAAATGTAAATATTCGGAAGCCTGTAACACTTGCGAACTTGTTAAATGATGAAGTTATATGATACTTTCTATTTTTATATTTGGCTCTTACAACGCTATAAATGACGCTGCAGCTGATATATTTGATATTACAAAATTGGTCGTCAGGTGAGTCAAACTCATCGTACGTAAAGCATACGCAAACAATTTACTCTGAATAAATGCACCTACTCAGATCTTAAAAAGACCATGACTCTAGGACAGCAAACTCACTCATGAGTTGACTCACTGGCACTCACCCATAATAATACCGAGCCGTGTTTGAGCCTGAGTGAGTCCGGGTCAGTAATATATTAGTGAGTTTGAGCCCGGCTGATTCCAGCCGGAGCAAATTTTTGTGAGTCTGAATACAAGTGAGTCCGGCTCAGGAAAATAGTCTCAGATCAAGAGAGTCGTAAGCGCATAATATATTTCGTGACTGAGCCAGAGTGGACTGCACAAGTTTTGCCGACCTATGACACCCGATCTTCGATAACAATCTGCGTTATGTGGGCTAATGCTTGTGCGTTCACGAACAAAGTGACAAAATTTTATCCCTTCAATCGTCTAGTTAACGTATAATTTAATATTTTAATAGCCACGCGAACGGCCTGAGAGTTGGGCAACACTGACGCACTAGCGAGCAGCGACGTCACAAGCGTCTTGATGTACGAGCATATATGCATTCTGCCGAACGATTTTGTTCCGTGCTCCGCTCAGTGTGCAAATTCGGCTGCGTCTATGTTGGAATTGAAACTGAACGAATCGGGGTGGCTTCAACTTTGGAAGACGACGGCTCCACATCATGGAGCACCCGACACTACCCACGGCGCGAAAAAATGGTGGATTACAAGGCGAGGTTTATAGCGTGTGGCTTCTGAGCGCTTCCTAAATTTCACTGAAATATTTACAGTCTATTTTTTATGCGTCGGCACAACAAATCCTCTACCTAAGTTTCTGGCTGAAAAACGAAGATTGTTGGGCAACCATGTCATTGCCCGTTTACTATAGACTCGTGTACAAATAAAAAAAATCTTGGAAGTTTAAAAAGTATTCCGCAACTGCGAGGTTGAAGCCTTATTTGTCATTGTGTTTTTTTTTCTTTTTAGGGTGATTATTCTGTACGAAACAAGGAGTTCGAAGTGCCAGCCCTACTGCTTCCGGATTGGATAACGTCGGGAGACTACCAAGTCACTGTGAAGGCCAGAAGCAGGGGCGAACCCCTTTTCTGCGTACACTTCACCTTGTCACTGAAGTGACGCTGATCTCAATATGTTTTTTTGTTGCATCGTTTTTCTCGTTTACCCCGGAGTCCACTTGTCTTGTACGCAAACGTGCTGCGACTTCAAAAAGAAGCAAAGAAGCCTACAGTGTTAAGTGCATAAAAGAGTGTAAATATCATTTTTTTTGCGTGTATGTGAGTGAACGAAATAAAGTGTTTTGGAGTTTGTGAGTCCTCCTTTGCCAATTACCATTATCATGCACTCTGTGGCTGCTCTGTATTTCTTTACAGATTCATATATGACAAAGTTTCTCAAAAGATTGTGGTGGAAGTCCCTTTGCGAGATATATTTACTGTGGTTGCCTATTTATGAGACAATCGCAAAAGGTTTATGTGAAAGTGATGAAGGTTTCAAGTGTTACGCTACCATATGAGGAAGAGAAATAAATTTTGCTGCAGAGGTTGAGCCGACGGCACAGTTTTCAAATGTAAGCATTTATTTATTGAGGAAGATGAGTACACGACAGGAATATCAAACGCCTCTTGTCATTTAGTAAGGATATAGAGGAAAAGAAGAAAATATCAGAAGGGTGGGAAGGTTAACTAGACCAAATTCAGTTTGCTGCCTTACATGGGGAAGAGGAGAATGAGGGAAAGAAAGGGAGAGGGGGAAATACACATTGCACACAACACGCACACCGCACACACAGTTCAGGTTTCACACGTGGTCGCTCAGTGACGTTGCCCTCGAGAATCGTAGAAGGGCTCGTGTGGCTTTCTGGACTAAAGTACGTGAAAGCCACGCTCCCAAGATCTTCTCCAGAGTAAAGGGTCGATCATCCAGCCTCCTTGACGCACACTGGAGAGTCCGGCGATCGATAGGGATAAACGTACTAAAAAAGCTAAGAGGTCGGATGTGCTCATGTGCACAGATAGCACCGCACAGTCAACTGCATTGGCACAAGCTAGTAGTGTTTACAAAATGAATGGAAGGTCTTTTTTTTTACTGTATTTTGTGCCGGTGATTCATTTTGTCTATGTTCCACTAGCAATGCTAACCGCGCCTGTAGGTTGAAAACATAAGTGGATTGCTAATGGGAACAATATAAATATAAAAGGAATGCCGCTACACAGTAGTACTTCCGGAATAAACTGTTAATGCCGTTAACGGTTTTCGGAGATGAAAAAAAAAACAAGTAGTTGTCACCACGTTTTGTGACATGGTATCACTATGTGCTCATTACGACAGGAATTGTGTGAATAACTGAACGAAAACAGTGGAGATGACGATGCCAGCAGTGCCAAGAGATGGCATGATGACAACACATAGTAATAGTGGTGCAACGACAATGACGTAACAACGGCTGCGCTGCTTGCTCCACAAAGTGGGAATATACTCGTGACAACATTCGTTCTAAATTCCACTAAAGAAATAATTTTAAAAAATCTTTTACTCGCAGCGAGCATCCTGTCATGGTGTGTCGCACGTTCCAGAGTTTCCGCTTCTTCTGTATTCATTTCTTGGCGCTATTTCCAGGCGTCCACAAATTACAAATTTAAAAGCGTGGAATAAAAAGAAAGAGCTCCGAAACCGTGGTGCCCAAACGTATCAACAGAAAACTTAAGCCTATGTCCATCGATACTTAGTGGACCAAGTATATAGACAAGAGGGGAACGTCCTTTGAAGCGGCTGAAGCCAGCCACGCAGCCGGTCAACTATGCCTTAGCAAGGGGATTTCCGTTCCGGGAACTCCGTAAAAAGATCCTTGCCAATCGCAACAATCCGGTTGTGCGTGTCAGACTCGCGCACGTGACCGGAGCTCTAATAGCGCTCTAGCACGAATAGCTGCCGCGCGTGCATTAGGTCGTCGGGAGGAGGTAGATAATTAACGACGCACTAGAACAAACTGGTCTCAACGTTGACCAATCGCGCTGTGCGGCTACACGTTGTCAAGCAGTTCGCGTACGCTAAGAAACAGACAGGAAACCAAACTGTCACTAAAAATGCCCTTGAAGGCCTCTTTTATTTCTGTTCCCTTTGGCGATCAGTATATATGGAACAGCTGTCGGTAATTTTTTTCGCAGCACGTGCGCTACAGGCTCAGACGGGTCAGCGTTCGTGCCTTGCATGGTCAGCTTGCATGGCTAATTTGGTTAATACTTCACATATCGGTAGAACGAAGATTTTGCCGGCCCGAGGGAGGCGTTTAGAAAATGCGTTATTGCTATAGATACGTGACTAGGTTGGCGGATGTATCTGTAAGCGAACTATTTCTTCTAAGCTATGGTACCATGATACAAGCCACATTACGGATGTTGTTCGGGCTATTAATAAATTTACAGCTGCATTACTACAAATATTTCGTTTAAGTTCAATACTACTAATACGGATCCAGTAATGAAATTTATCTTGCCGGTCAACGTCAACCTTGCTACGAAAACAGCAATAGTCTGACTAAGGCACTATACTGCCTACTCAAAATGATTTTGATACCAAATAGAGACAGCGAATAACCCATTTTTTTTTTCGGTGAAGAATCTACTGACTATACAGAACTTAGTTTTACACCATAGAAATTCCCGCCCTGCCACAAAGCGCTGTCAACGAAGCTGAAGTTTCTTAAAAGCCGACACTTTGGATGGAAAAATTCTCAGGTGCGCCGTGGAAGACTGACACACCACAAATGTGAGCATTACACACCCTAATATAGCTTCTTGGTGAAACGAGATTCACCGAAAAGCGAAAAGAGAAGTTTATCAAGTGATTGGCAGCGAGTTGCAATTTTGAGATTTTGTTTTACACTACGAACATGATATGGAACAGTTTGGGAGTCCATACTGATCCCACAGATGGCATGCTGTGCTTTCATTGTACGTTCCTATGTCACGGTACATTATTACTTGGTGTGTGTGTTTGTCCTCTTTTTCTGCAGTGGGCTTCATTTTGCAGTGCATTCTAGCCTGGGTTGTGCATTTGTATATTTCACCTGGGCAACCTACGACTTCGTGTCATCGTCATAATAATTTTCTGACAAGTAACAACTGATTAAAAACGTACGGCGACAGGTTTCGAATACCGAGGCCTGGACTGGACCACAAGCGCCTGTGCAGTATTTTTGTGTACGTTAGCAAACCATTACGTGTTCCAGTCACTCCCTCACCCATTCGTTCATACACTCTCACTACCCTCACTGATTCACTAACACACTGCACTGCACTCACTGACTCTACCACTCAACCACTCCGCTCATTCACTCCCTAATTCATAAAACCAATCACGGCACTCTATCAGTTGCTCAACTCACTAATTTACTCAGACACTGTTCAATCGTTCATTTATACACTCACTCACTCACTCACTCACTCATTCACTCACACACTCTTCATAACAAAATCAGTGGCACGGAACACGTTTACTGCCAGGTAAACAGGAAGACATACGCTGATGTCACCGTTGAGTAAGCCGTGAGACATCAAGATAATGGTATGCCTCATGGTGGAGACAGAACACGAACAAAGGACACACAGTTAGCCTGTAATCTTATTGCGAAACAAAGCACATCTCTGATTTCTAAGAATCGCGTGGCCGCCTGACAATTTGCTGTCATTGTCACGTGTACGCGATCAGCAGCTAGAACACGTTAAAAAAAAAGAAAAGTGAACGGAAACTTGCGGCACTCTACGCAACGGTCCGCTGCTCACGCCTCCTTTCGCTAGTGTGTTCGCTCGAGACGTTTCTACCGAAGGTCGCAGACTCTTGGATTCAAGGCTGCCGCGTTGAGAACCACTTTGTTCCTGCTGTAGTGTCATTCGCGCTACCTGGCGATGGCCTTCTAAACGAAGAGCTCAACTGTTCCGCTTCTCCTTTACAGTTGGCGCTAGCGAGCTGTTCGTTGGAGAGCGGTCTTTTTGAATGCTAGAACCATGGGCCTGAAGATACTGTTCTGAAGGCGTACGAGCGAAGAAAAGAGGGGGTGGGGGGAGTGGGGTGGGGGGAGTGGGGTGGGTGGACGATCATCCCGCCATAGTTATCTAGAGGGGGGGGGGGGGGAGCGCGAGCACTGCCGCTTTCCTTCTCTCATTCGGACCTTTCGCGCATTTTTTATACACGCAGTGTTATGGCTACGCGTGTTTTCTGACTATCTTTCAAGGAACAGTTTACTTCCCATCTTTCACCAGTGAAACCAGGAAAAAAATGGCCGGCAGCTTTGAGGAGCATGTCATCGCTTCACAATCATTTTGCAATCATTACGGAGCTAGTTTTGTATCGGACTCAGCCAATGCGGGGGGGGGGGGGGGGGGGTGTTCCTGTGACACAGCCTTCTCCCTCCATCTCACTAATGGAGAACCTCGCCGCGAATGCCTACTGCGGCCACTACGTCGTGGGTGCCGCACTTTTGTCTACAGCAGTGAAGAGGACCTCCATCGTTCTTGTCTCATGGGAATACTCCTCCTCCTCCTCCTACTACCACTACTACTACTACTACTACAACTACTACTACTACTACTACTAGCCCCGCTGCGGTGGTCTAGTGGCTAAGGTACTCGGCTGCTGACCCGCAGGTCGCGGGTTCAAATCCCGGCTGCGGCGGCTGCATTTCCGATGGAGGCGGAAATGTCGTAGGCCCATGTACTCAGATTTGTGTGCACGTTAAAGAACCCCAGGTGGTCAAAATTTCCGGAGCCCTCCACTACGGCGTCTCTCATAATCATATGGTGGTTTTGGGACGTTAAACCCCACAAATCTACTACTACTACTACTACTACTACTACTACTAATAATAATAATAATAATAATAATAATAATAATACATTATGGCAGCTTCGCACTATTGGTGCTAAACCCGAAGGTAGTGCGAAGCTGGGCGCCCTTCCTTGTTCTTTTTTTATTTTTTATTTTTTTGCCCTTAAGGAATCATGACCGATACCAAGGCCGGGGTTGAGGCCCACCCCAAATCAACATCTCTGCAGAGCTATAATAAATGTAGTAATCTCTTTCTCTTTTCGTTATTTGTGTTTTTTCTGTTCATTTTTAATTATTTCTTTTTCTGGCTCTGTTCATTTCTTTCTCTTTCTTGCTCATCTTATCCTTCTTCCTGTTTCGTTCCTGTCATTCTTTCTCTCTTTTTTTCTCATTTGCTTCATCATGCTTTATATCTTTTTTTCTCTGTCTATTCCTTTCTCCCTGTTTAACTCTTAATTTCTCGTGTTACTTCTGCTATCCCTTCCTTTTCGCCCTTCTCACCCTCACTATCCTTTCTCGCTGTTTTTCTAGTTTCTCACCCTCACATTCTCTCTCTCTCTCTTTCTCTATTTGGCACTTTAATTTTTCTTTCTCTTCCTTCCTTTTTTTCTTTTTCTCACCCTCTATCCTTTTCTCGCTTGCTTCCTCTTTCTAACTTTTTCTGTCTACTTCTTCGTCTGTCTTTCTGCCATGTTCTCTCTCTCTCTCTCGCTAAGAATTTG